TAAATAACACATTCAGTTGAACTAAACTATGCATGCCTATTCAAATATATTTACATATGGCTTGTGTATATCGTATATATACATATATATTATTCATACCTTCAGTGTATAGGACGCAAGCAGATTTTGACATAAAATTTTGGGGTAAAAAAGTGCGTCGTATACACCGAAAAATTCTTTCACAAAAGTTTTGGACTTCAGTTTTATGTTTAAAATCTATAAAATACGATCTACAGCAAACAGTGTTAGCTTTCTTAAAATTTGATATATATATATATATATATATGACTAATAGAAAATTTCTTGTTAATTAATGAAAAATTGCATTCAACTGATATTTGAAAAATTAATTACGTGAATATCCTGTAGCAACAAAATTTTTATTACGCTCATGTATGTCTTTTTTTTTTGCGTCTGTTTTTATTAGTTGTTCTAAACCTTCATGCTCAAATTTATATTATATTCGATCTCCGAGCATCTGAATTCTAGATTACAAAATATTTCTATTTATTTTAGACCTGTTACTAATTTGAAGGAAATGTCCACCTATTTAAACGTTTAGCTTAATTCTTAATACTAGCAGAAATACTCGCCCTCCGGGCAGATATAACTACTAGTTCCTGTGGAAGGCTATTGGGCCTGTGGCCTTTTCTGGAACTGTCTGACAGTTCTACAACAATGTACTCACTCCTGACAATCAATAATGTTCACCACCCATGAGAAAAAGGATTTTATTGAAATTCTAGTTTAAAAATGAGCTATCATCACAGAGTAGATTTTATTGAAGTATTTCTTTGTAGACGCAGTAATCAATGAAAGTTCCTTGCTTTTCTGTTGCAACACTCGTGAGATTTTCACTAAAGAAAAACAAATAATTTTGTAAAAGGTTTTTGATTGTTTTATATTTGAAACTTACTCCTTTTTGTTTATAATTTTTATTGGTTAAATCTGAAACATATCATTTTGTGGAAATTTCAATTGTTTTATTTATTCCTCAGCTATAAAAATATTGCCTAGTTATAAAAATATTACCCAGTTATTATTGACTGCCTAGTTATAAAAATATTACCCAGTTACTATTGACTGCCTAGTTATAAAAATATTACCCAGTTACTATTGACTGCCTAGTTATATGAATATTACCCAGTTATTATTGACTGCCTAGTTATAAAAAATATTACCCAGTTACTATTGGCTGCCTAGTTATAACAATATTACCCAGTTACTATTGACTGCCTAGTTATAGAAATATTACCCAATTACTATTGACTGCCTAGTTATATGAATATTACCCAGTTACTATTGACTGCCTAGTTATAGAAATATTACTCAATTACTATTGACTACCTAGTTATAAAAATATTACCCAGTTACTATTGACTGCCTAGTTATAAGAGACTATTACCCAGTTATGATTGGTGAGGATTGGTGCAGTAGTTTCCGAGATCTGAGTTTTGGACGAAAACATCACAAGCTCCATTATAATAAGATGGTACAAAACAAATGTGGTTCTAAACGTAATCATTATCTCTGATTACTTTTTCAGGCCTGAGTATAATTTTCAAATGAAGTAGAAAGGCACTCCCACTAACCCCCTCCCCCAAAAGTTTTAACTTTTACATGAACCAACTTAAAATATACGCCAAACAATACCTCACCATCAAAAATAAAGGTGTAGGTAACAGTATCCTCCAAACAATACCTCACCATCAAAAATAAAGGTGTAGGTAACAGTATCCTCCAAACAATACCTCACCATCAAAAATAAAGGTGTATGTAACAATATCCTCCAAACAATACCTCACCATCAAAAATAAAGGTGTAGGTAACAATATCCTTCAAACAATACCTCACCATCAAAAATAAAGGTGTAGGTAACAATATCCTCCAAACAATACCTCACCATCAAAAATAAAGGTGTAGGTAACAATATCCTCTATCTTTTTCAATATACTCTCGAGTTCTGGTCATTTTCCAAAATATCAATTTGTTACCATTATAACGAAAGTGGTTGACCTTCGGTGAAATTTTGACCTTTGAGCTAAGATCATCAAAAATTAATCAAGTAGTTTTTTTTAGGATACTTTCAACCTTTGTACCAAATTTGATCAGATTCAGGTGAAATCGTTTTGGGTTACACTGTTCATGAATACACACACTTAAGTAAAAACAATACCTCGCCCTCTCGTGCGGGTAACGATAGACATAAGTAGGTTTTTAAATTGTTCAATAGACCTGAAACTGTGTCGTTTTTATCAAATGATCTCCAGAATTGCGTAAGTTTTACAGTGAAGTAATTTTTCTTAAATCGACTAATGTGCATGAGCATTTTTTTAATGTCTAATAGAACAAAAGGATATAAGTTTTCAAACTGCCCAATAGACATAAGCAAATTTTTAAATCTTTTAATAGACCAATGGGCACATCACAGATAACCCATTGTGTAGCTTTGTGCTTATCTACAAACAAATAGGCCCGGCATGGCCAGGTGGTTA